GTCTCTTCAATGCTTGACAAAGGAGGAGAACCCACAAGCTCCAGCCCAGCGGGAAAGGAGCTGGGCATGTTTTGTGCCCGTACTGTTTGAGTTTATAGCTTTCTTTTGGTACACGTGCTTGTTTAGGACAGTCACTCCCACCCAAACTTTCTATGTCACTGGACCTGAATTCGCGTTGAACATGCTTGTTACCGGTGCAGGGCCATTTCCATCAGTTCCTGCACCAAACTTCATCCCCTGAAGTAAACTGTCTGTTTTGCTTAGCAGAGTCTTGTGTCCATGCTGTTGATACTGTTTCACCCTGCCCACTAGGTCAAGGAAGATCAGATTTAACCTGGTGCAGAGTCTTCTTCCCATTAGCAACTCTACTGAGCTATCCTTATAGTTATATCGGGGTGGTCCTGGAATCAAATAGGAACGAGGGCAGTTTGGTTTCCAGTGAAGCTTTAGGCTGTTTCTTTAAGCCTGCCTTTAAAGTTGGACTGTCCTTTCTGCCAGACTGTTGGATGATGGATATAGTGGAGCTGTCCTTATATGTTGAATACCATTTGACTTCAGGAAATGCTCAAATTCCTTGTTGGTAAATGATGGCCTGTTATCTGTGACCAACACCTCTGGGTATTTAATTTGGATTTCACTTAGGCAGCCATTTTCTAAGCGAAAAGTGTTGAACCAATCTAGTTGAATCTTTCTCAACTAATTTTACCCCATCAAGCTTAGGGCCAAGTCTTTTACTATAATCACTGGTAACTGAACCAGCTGCTTCTCACAAGAGAGCGGATCCGAAGTTATACCTTTAATTTGTAAAGGTTCCCTATTATAGATTCTCAGTCTAACCGAGGTCATGTGCAAACTTAACTGTTGGAGTCCACAGCAAATTTTGTTAAAGACTGGTTCATCAATCACTGAAACGGCCATGCTGGTATTGACCTTCATTAGAATTATTTAACCAGATGTTTATTTTGGTTCTGATTTGGATGTTGTTAAGCAGTTTAACTGTTCCAAACCAGAGATATGTTGACTTTCCAGAGTATGCACTCTCCTTGATACCTACGAGTTCTCTTGCTGTATTTAGATCTCCATGGGACTCTTTTGCTGTCACGAGTCCACATACCGGCAGCAACTACAATGGCTTGCCAGCCTGGATCCCAAAGAAAATCTTAACCATTTGACTGAGGCTTGGTTTTGTTTTGGGGTTTTGCTGTGGGTTGACATTAGAGTCCCTCTGTTCAGGAAATGTCCTGAGTGTGGCTGTGTAATTGCTTTCACTCAATTGGTGTTCCCCGAGCTCAGCCAGACTTGTGAGCATGTCCATTTCCATATGGTCCACTTGTTGCATTTTCCAATGGTAAAGTCAGTTGTACTACCTGATTGAAGTCCAGTTGGGCTTCAACTAGTAGGTGCTTTTGCATGGTTACATCATTAATCCCACATACCAAACAGTCACTCAGTATCTCATTATGAGTTAAACCAAAGTCACATGCTTCTGCCAGTTATCTTAATCTAGTCAAAAATCCCAATACGGATTTCTGTGGTTCTCAAACTGCCAAATAAAACCGATAACGTCTCGGAATTAGAGGAGACTTGGGGTCTTAATATTCCTTAACAAAATCGGTCAACTCTTGAAAGGTTTTAGTATTTGGTGCCTCAGTGAAAGTTAGGCTCCTAATAACCGAAAAACTGCAGTCCACAAGTTTTCAAGCAAATTGCACGTTGCTTTTCATCTGCTCCAATGTCATTTGCCCGGAAAAAAAAAATATTCTTTCCACATACTGGGCCCAGTCTTTGATGGCAAAATCAAACGAGTCAAGCTTTCCAAATAATGGCATGATGCCAGGAATGCTTACCCCAACTCAAAGATGACTATTGCGAGTGAATTTCTTCAGGACCGTGTTTTACTCTCATCGTCTCTGAAATAACTCCACAGTGGCCGGTATCCCCTCACCTAGTCACTCTTTATTTACATGTGGATAGTCCTTGACACTTACCCACTTTCCTCAAAGCTAGATCTTAGAGTGAACAGAACCTCTGACTCTCCTGATTATGTCTGTCAACTCGGTTAACAGCCCCAATCAGCGAACTCAAATTCTATGAGGTCGACCTGACTGACCTTGTTACAATGACTGCACAATCTCTTTTTATATTACTAGGTAGCTTACTCTCAATTTACATCTCCACCCCCCACCCACCACCCCCACTTATGGCTTTTTTTAGTTCTCCTCTGCTAATTTTTAAAGGCTTCCCAATCCTCTGGCTTCCCACTAGTCTTCACCACATTGTATGCTTTTTCTTTTACTTTTTTGCTGTCCCTGACTTCCCTTGTCAGCCATGGCTGTCTCATTCTCTCCTTAGTATGTTTCTTCTTCCTTGGGATAAAATTCTACAGTGCCTCCCAAATTACCCCCAGAAACCCCTGCCATTGCTATTTCATTGTTTTCCCTGCTAGCGTCACTTTCGAATTAACTTTGGCCAGCTTCTTTCTTGTATCTTTGTTGTTACTTTTACTTAATAGTCATACCATTACATCTGATTCCAGTCTCAAACTGCAGGATGAATTTTATCCTGTTATGGCCACTTCCCCCGGGGGGGTTCCTTCACATTAAACTCCCTAATCAAGTCTGCCTCATTACACATCACCAAATCCAGACTCAGCTGTTTCCTACTGGGCTCTACCACAAGCTGCACGAAAAAAAAGCATCTTGTAGACATTCCATGAATTCCTTTTCTTTGTGTTTTGAGGGAGGCCAGATCTTTGAAAGTGAAGAATTGGTATCCGTTATAAAAGAGCCAAAGTCTGAATGAAATATGATGAGCCATAGTGTCTGTAACGTCTCTGAGGATTGCTGAGAAAATTGTGGAATCTGTTTTCACCGCATTTGCCTTTTAATGTGGGATGTTTGATCACTGTTTGTCTGCTGACTCAAGTTTAAATCATACCACTTCTAATTATTAAAGTATAAATCAATGCTCAAAATAGATGGAAATGGCAGGCAAATTCATCACTGGAAGCCACTAAAATGCCCATGAAAATTCAATCATCAGAATATTCAAATTGGGAGCACAGTAGGTCATTTGGACCCTTTTGAGCCATGGTGGATCTTACTGTGGTCTGAACTCCGCCATCCGACCTATACATCCCTGGCAATGTCTTTAACCCATTTAGCCAAAAGTTTCCTGTGTAAGTACAAGAGACAGAATCAGAATCTTCCACAAACAGACTGATTCTCTCTTGCATCTACTGTTGATAGGTTTACTTTGGGTGTGTTAGCAGATGGCAAAGCTGAAAGTAGCAGATCCTTTTAAGTCTGGAGGTAATAGAGTCACAGGGTATGGGAAGCAAAGCTGGTTGGGTCAGAGATGGGGAGGGATGCTGCCATGTTCTGGGTCTCAAACGTGAGGCTGATGGACTGGAGGCTGGGTGCAAAGGACGGTTGAGAGTGGGGGGGGTCTGCAAAGGGGAGTGGAATCTTTGCAGGGAGAGTGAGGGATCTGCATCGGGGGAGAGTCCATAAAAGCAAATCAGATCTGCAAAGGGGAGAGAAGGTCACCAAAGGAGAGAGAGCAGTTTTAAACTTTACAGTAAAGGAATACTCAACTCATTGAGAACCAGGAAAATTGAGGTAATTAATTCCTTGCAAATATATGTGGAATCTCTAGCATGAGTCTGCAGCAGTTCAGGAGCTGTTCTTTGGGACAAAGTATTTTTCATAGATATATTTATATGTTGTCATACCTCAAAGCGTTTCTTATCCTGTGAATTACTTGTTATATTGACTGTGTTAAAAATAAACATGCAACTGTTCAGCTGGGATCTCATCAGTCTGCAGAAGATGAATTTAAGGTATTGGCTTTTTGTGTATAGAACTATATATAAGTTTATTTTTTAACAAAAATATTGCCCCAGCAAATGCCAGCTATCTTGTGCCAATTTTAAATACAGCAAACTTTATTTTAAGTGACACCTTATGAACTGGCAGTTTCAATAAACTGGTAAAAAATTATTTACCTCAAGTACTGGAAGTTTACTGTATTATCGCAATCTCCGCGATATCCAAGTAGTCAATTGAGGCTGCAATGAGAAAGCTCTCTGCTGGTAAGTTTTATTTAAGGCAAATTTGCATTAGTATTTCAGTGATTTATGTTGTAAATAAAGTATAGCAATGATGTGTACATCCCCTGCATTATATTTCTATTACATAGTGTGTGCGCTTACATTGATTATGTGGACCTCTTGATCAACCAAAATATTCGATCAACTGGTACACTCCCGGTCCCATAGGTGCTGGTTACTAAAATGTTTGCTGTACTCAGAAATTGTGTCAACGAAATAAATGCTTTTTTTTTTCTGTGTTGTGGGTTTCAGTTTAGGGGAGCAATTATGAGTATTAAAGATATTGATAAATTCTTCTAATTCTGCCTTTGTGTGAGTCCAGATCCCCCATATGTCATCACAAATACAGAAGGTAGTGTTACTACATGATCATCAATGAAGGATTCAGTGAAATTAAAAAAGGAACTGCTGAAACTCAAAAGTTGCCCCCAAAAATCAAAAAGTAAACTCTCCGAAAGTCTCAAAAAGAGTCTTTTAGAAGTGGAAACATCTGATTTTGAGAACTTAAATGTTTTATACGGTAGATTGTTACCCTTTGCTGACTCTTGTAAAGTTCATTTTGCTTACTTATAACCATGGAGTCTCGTGGTTTTATTCTCTTAGTAACTGCCTAGGATTCCAAACTTTAGTTACTTTAAACAAAAACTGTTCCTGTTCCCTAACCAGATCACAATTTAATTTGCAGTCTTGTCCAGGGTCATAACAAGCGGCTGTTTCACAATTGCACTCTTTGTATTCAATTTTAAAATTATCCCAATGAAATTTTGTCTGCTGTTCGACTGATTTAATTTAATTTAATATTTGTCGTATTCTATATTTCTTGGCCATTTTCCACCATAGCAACTTACTCTGTTGATTGAATAAAATTTTTTTTGTTTTCTTTCTCCAGTACAGAATTGGTCAGCTGTACATGATCAGCAAGCACAGCCATGAGCAGAGTGACAGAGGAGAGGGTGTGGAGGTCGTGCAGAATGAGCCTTACGAGGATCCTACACATGGCAATGGACAGTATACAGAAAAGAGAGTTTACCTCAACAGGTGAATGCAGACTGTGAGATTGTGAACTGAAATGGTGCTAGCTCTAGCCTGCTTTTTAGTCAGAATACTTATTTATATTTTCCATTGATTAAAAATCCTACAAGCCCTTAATGTTTTATAATGTATTTGTCCTATTAGTTATTTGAACAAAACACTAATTAGATTCAGTACAATATTTGTGGAAATGAAGGCCATGTTACGTCAAAAGTGTTTCCATTAAATGTACTAATTTTAGGACCTCTGTATGTGCTTCTGAGAGAATAGAACATTACTGGTTTCGTTTTATAGGTATGTTACAAATCACTTTCTGTTTGAAGGGACATGCAGGTGAACTGGTGACGGACATTTGCAGTGTTATTCTGAAATACATCACCATGTTGTCTGTAATATTGGTGGGCCTTGGTGCACTAAAAACTGATTTTTCTTCCATGTGTCTTTGGCCTAAATTCTTCTCTAAATTTGTACAATTGAAGTTGGAAATTTGTAGAGTATGAAGGACCGTTGAGCCCCATTGTATCTTGTAACAAATTGGCACAGAAATCACCTATAATTTGCCTTTTCCTTCCTGGCTGACTGGTATTTTCTGACACTGTTATTATGGCAGTATCTTTCTTCATTGTCATCATCTGAGCTCTTCTGACAGAAAAACTTTGAAAATGTGTCAAATTGAACTGATTCAACCTCTGTTCTCATATAATGATGTTAATTTGAGTCTGAACTTCCAGCTTCCTCATCATTGTTTGCAAAAATAACTATAATCAGATCATCCAGAATCCACTGAATGGTGGAAGAGGTTCAGAGGTCTACGTCTGTTCCAATTTTCCAGAGACCACATTATTCTACATCTGTAATCTGTTGTTGTCTTGCTTTTGTTGAACGTGCTATAGTTCCCAGGGGTAATCATTTTCTTCCTAGAGCATTTTGTAAAACGGTACGGTGTAAGACAAGATGCAATCTCCATATTTTGGAGGCATCCTGAAATAACACTTTCTTCAAAAAGACCCATGTTAACATGAAGCTTTCCAAAATTAACATGAAAATGCATTGTGCATCTCAAAAATGATTTAACATGATTGAGTTATTTCAAATTGCAGAAATATTAAATACATTGAACTGGATTTCAAGGAGAGCTGCACTGAAACGATTGATGTGATATGGATCTGACTTTGGTATATGGTAGAGATGGCAGTCTTGTGGCATCATTTCTTGTAGGTCAATCTGCATATCTGTGACAACAAGGTGCAGGGCTGGATGAACACAGCAGGCCAAGCAGCATCATAGGAGCAGAGAGGCTGATGGCCTGCTGTGTTCATCCAGCCCTGCACCTTGTTGTCTCGGATTCTCCAGCATCTGCAGTTCCTACTATCTCTGCATATCTGTCTTGCTCTTAAAACAATTAGATTTTACAGCTCTGCTCTTAAGTGGTGGGGGTTTGACATTTAAAGAATAAGATTATTGCAGTGGTTTCTTGCTTTTGACATTACAGCAAGATACAAGAAGTCAAACAGCTGTAACTAAACATGCCTGATTCATATGTATATATTTGATTAAATTTCTTGAGAGCTGCATTGTCAGTTTTTACACAGTACTAAATGCAAGAAGAAAAGAGAAATCTTTGGTACATTTTAGCACAATATGTCATTAAGTGTTGTGTAAGAAAAATGACTTCCAAATAAGTACATTAAGCATTTTAAAAATCAAGCTATATGTATTTCAGAATTTTCTTTCAAAGCTTGACAACTACCCAATGCCTATTCCTTGATGCGAGATACTTTCCACAAATTCAATTTGCTTTCTCCTTGAAAGGAAAAGAAAATGGTGCATTGATCTATTAATATATCACAGTTGGCAAGCTTTGTGGATTCAGCATATGTCATAGTGTTTAATAATGCCGTCTGTGGTGCACAATGCACAACAATGTGAGGTAACTATGCACAATTCACAATCTGGGGCTAAGGTCTACTGAGCACAGAGTGCTCTATTATACGGGTTCATGAGCATTGACAATTACACTGTGCGTAGGGCTAATTAAGGTTTCTGTTGATAAGCCATCAAAGTACCTGGTGCCCCAGGTTTACCGACCTATAGTAAACAGGGAGACCATTCCAAATGTTGAGGACTGCATAGCTCTTTGCTCTGTATTCTTTATTGCAGGATTTAGAGCAGTAGAACTACAACAGTAAATCCCCAATACATTTGTGCTTTTGGGATGTCAGCATGTGACATCGTTTGCAGAACACTGGCCTCTGAATTACAAGGTGCTTGGTTCAAGTCCCCTCCTCTACAGCACTAAAATTAAGGCTGACACTGTAGTACCATACCGAGGGAACACTGTGTCGTCAAAGATGCCAACTTTTGGATGAGAAGATAAGCTGAAACCCCATCTGCCTACTAAGCGTATAATGCTATTTCATAGAGGAGCTGGAGAATTTTCCCTTTGGCCCTACAATATTTATCCCTCAATCAATATCACACTGGTCATTATCACTTGCAGTTTAAGGGAGTATTCCAAGTGCAAATTGGCTGCTGCATTTCCTACATCACAACTATACTTCAAAAAATACTTCATTGACTTAGAGGACTTCGAGATATTAGTTGGTTGTGAACGTGCTGTATAAATACAAATCTTCTTTCATTTTACAATAAAGCATCACTTTATAAATATCTGTCATCCTCAAGACCTCTGTGCTCCTGATAGAACAGTTCCATAGAGTCAGTTGCAAATAACTCCAGATTTATTCCAATGCACAGTAGCTTAGAAATTGGGCTGGGGCTATTTTTGAACAAATAATCAACATACCTCAGGTCTCCTCACCCCACTCCCACCCATGCCAGAATGGTGAAACCCATGCCTGGCGTGATATGTCTTTGAACTTAATTTTAATAATGCCAGCATAATATGAACTACTTGATGATAAAGATGATGTGGAGGCCAGTGTTGAACTGGGGTGGACAAAGTCAGAAGTTACATGATACCAGGTTATAGTCCGACAGGTTTATTTGAAATCACAAGCTTTCAGATCCTGCTCCTTCTTAAGGTGGAGTCCACCTGACGAGAGGGCAGCCTCTGAGAGCTTGTGATTTTAAATAAACCAGTTGGACTTTAACCTGGTGTCATGTGACTTCTGACCTTGACGATAAAGAGATTAAGTATGGGCTGGTTGCTAGTGTTGCTGATTTATCCTGCATATTAATATTTAACATCAACACAAAATAGTCTTTTATTTCTGCAGTTGATTCCAATCGTTGTTAGTTCTCTTGTGTCAGAAATAAGTATCTTCTGAAGGGACTTGGAATATATCCTGATATATTTATTCCTGTTACCTCAGCCATAGAGATGCAATACCGTGGTTCAGGAAAGCAGTTCATGTCGAAATAAACTTTATTGTGAGTTACTTACAGTAAAAAGTGATTTCTTGAGAAGGAATGACTTTCTGAATGGCCGCTAGACTCTTAAGTTTATCATTTGTTGAAAAGTGACAAAGTATTCCAGTCAGAGATGTGATTCAAGAAATTAATCACTTTCAGAAAGCAGGTTATTTTCCCCCCTGCAGCACCCACCATGTGCTTTGTTGTTTTGATGCAATTATTTCCATTGTTCACAATGAATAACCTTTGGTACTGTCAGGCCTTATTGTGAATAGCAGTGCTCACTTGGCATGGATTAGTGTAACCAAGAGGTGACGCGAACTGATATTGCTTTTATCTGACCAAATAAATGGCAGACTGCTGTAAAATCACAGAAAGTTTCTTAAAGTCCCACCCCACCAATTGTAGCATCCAGTTATTTCTTAAATGATTCTAGGGTTTTTATCTCCCACACTCAATCCAGACCACTACCTAATGTGTGACTTGAGTGGGACAAGTGTTAGGGGATGAGCCAAATTCACTGGAATGAGAGGTTGGCGTGAAAATCTGTAACTGAACAGTGGGCCACCTTCAAAGAGGAGATGGTTCGGGTACAGTCAAGGTGTATTGCCTCAACTAGGAAAGGTAAGGCAAATGAATCCAGAGATCACTAGATGACAAAGGAGATATAAATTAAGGTAAACAAGAACAAGTGCACTTATGACAGCTGAATTGCAATTGGAGCAAATGTGATGCAAGGTAAAATCTTTCACACAACAAGTAGTTAGGGTGTAGAACACATTGCTGGGAAGTGAGGGAATAAAGAGTGTATCGGATGATTATTTGGGTAGAAATAAAATGCAAGGATTTGGGGACAAAGCAGGAAATAGGCATTGAAGGGCTGGCGCAGACATGTTGGATCAAATGCCGTAACAGATCTATGATTCTGTGTCGTGCGGAAAGTAGTTTCTGATCTCAGTCCAAAAGTTACATTCTATTAATTTGAATCTGCTTCCTTGTTTTCACTTCTGCAATTTAATTTAGTATAATGTTCTGAATTTATTTCTTCTACCTTTTAACAATCATATCAATATCTCATTTCACTGTTATGAGGACTCCTTTGTAGGCTGAACAGCCTAAGGTTTTGCTACCTTTTCTCATAACTAAAACTCAGACATTAGGTCTCAGGAATTTTTTTACCATACGTCCAAAGTTAGCAAGCCTCCCATATTTCTTAGAAAGCAGAACAGCTGCAATATTCAGTGTGATCTGGCCAGGGTACTATACAGTTTGATAATGACATTCCGAAACTTTCATTCAACTGTTTGTTTATATTGGCATCTAGCATGTAGTATAATTTTCCCAGTGAACAAGCCTTCTCTTTGTGAATCCGCCTCTGTATGGACATACGCCTACCATAAATGAATTTTGTGCTTTTTTTCAGGAAGAAAAATCAAGTTTAATGCTATTTCAATTTCTCAATCTGAACTTCGTCCAAAATATAATTCAAGTTTTAAATTTCTCCTCTACGACTTAAACAATAGCTTCCTACTGCCACTTGTAATTTTGGAGTTCTTAGTATTTTTGACATTATTTCTTTCTGCGGTATTCTTATACTGCTGATTTCACACTTTTTATTAGTTCTCTAACTC